TTGGAGATGGTGCTGCGGGTGTAGAGTGATAAGAAAGTCATGTTTCTGAGGCAAGGAAAGGGCAGTGAGCTTGGGAATGTATGTTATACTCTTCCTAATGGGCTTCACTCAATGCAAATTGGACTCCGTGTGTGTTAGTTTGTTTGTTCATGTGTGCATTTGTGCATGTGTCTGTGTCTGTCTTCCTGAATCCCACAAGGCATCCACCCTGCTTCTTTACTGCATGCGTGCCTCCAGGCATGCACACAACACTGGCACTAATCCAGAACTGAAGCAGCTCCAAACAACCGTGTCAAGCTTTTAACACTTAACACTTATTGATCCATCAGTGAGATTTTCTCTGCCTTTTACTTTATAAACCAGCCTTTCACAGCCTGCAATTTTGTGAGTAAAAAACAAAACAAAAAACAAGTACTGTACAGTCTTTGAATAATCACCATGGTAGTGTTTTCCTTTCATGGCCCAAAACAGTGGTTTTCCTGTAAAATACTTTCAGCTGCAGTTCTATTCCAATTAACCTTTAATGTTGTAGGAGTGTGTGTGTGTGGTGTTTGTGTGTGTCGGGTCGTGTGTGTTGAGTGTTGGTGTGTGTTTGTGTGTGTGTGTGTGTGTGTGTGTGTGTGGTGTGTGTGTGTGTGTTTGTGTGTTTGTGTGTAGTGGGGTGCGTGTAGAGAACATACAAAAAAGCTCAAATCAACTGAGGCCATATGTGTGTGTACACACCTTCGCCAGTCGCCCGTGAAGGCAGACAGATGGAGCATGTCTAAAGCATCACCCACACCGCTTTGGCCTCTATCCCACAATTCATTGTTCCTTCTTTCCTCAACTTTTCTTTCTCTATCTGAACTGCCCCCCTCTACACTTTCCATCTGACCCCTGTGTCTGGGTTATGCCCCTCAGCCTGAAACACAAATTTCAGCTTTGTCAGAGAGTCAGTGCAACATCAAAGCTGCCTGTTAACAGTGAAACTAGATAGCGCTTCTGACTAGCCAACTGAGCCAACATGCTAAGGCTACACACTGAGAACAGCGGGATGTAGACACACACACTCCCACACGTACATATAAATGTTAGCTGTGATTCATTGTGCCTTTCTCACCACCACCTGGCTGGTCATAAAATGACAGTCAGTTCAAATCTTGGTCAGGTGTGTTTGAACTCTAACCTGTCCAACATGAAAAGCAAAGGCTTTTTCTCCCCAGGAGGCAACATCACACATGTTACACTGCTCCCATATGTGTGTCCTATATCCTGAAGCCACTGTGATTGAGTTCACATGAAACTTCAATCAGGTCAGAAGACCCCATCATGTGCTGAAAAGGGTCAAGGTCAACCACTGATCTAGAGTCAGATTACTCTCATAAAGGCTCCATAAGGGGGGATGTAACCATATCTGATGTATTTGAGGTTAGAAGTAAGCTCTACTGACTTCTTATCACAGTAACACATCTATCCATTAGTGTTCCCCTCCATCCGCTAAAGGGAACAGAAAAGTTGGGGTGGTCTGTTTAGCAGAGTATTTGGAGGTCCTCGTTTTTGGTGGAAAGACTAGTGATTCTACCATTAAATATATTGGTTAATGACTTTCAGCACTAATAAAATGTGTATTTTTCTACACTGTGGCTTAAAGATTGGAGTGTGAAGGCAAAATTAAGTAGACACAAAGGCTAGTGTCTACCCTCCCACATGTTTAACAGTCTAATACACCAATATAACATCATCAACTAAGCACCAGGTTGAGAGGATTATAACAAAAATGGCGTCTCTCGTAGTCTCGAGGATTCTGCAATAAGAATCAAGCCAGACTCCCTATAATGTTTGATGGTGTGGCCCACACAGATTTGGTGGTTTTGGGTTTCCACCAAAAAGTTTTATAAAGCGTTCAATAGAGGGTGAGCGGGAGAGATTGGGAGGCCCAGGAGAAGTCTGTATCATTACCAGGCACTCATATTGTAATCACTACCAGGTTTGCACTGCTCTCCTCCACCACCTGAGTCTGTCATGCATGCTAACGTTTACGGACACTTCACATAGTCACACACAAAAGCGTCTAGGCCAACCAGTAGATGTCTAGAAAGAAAAACAGAATGTCATAGATGTTCCAAAGTACACAGTATAACAGGATGCTAAATCATTTCATCCTGCACACAGAAACCACGCTGATATACACCCAACATTAAAAACATCTGAGGACTTGGAAGAAACAGCCGTGATGGGGAAAAGAGGGGTGAATATATGCTGTTCTGTTCTCTTTGATGCTAATGAGGAGCCCACCTCTGCTCACTCACACTGTGTCTGTTCATTATTAAATGTATAAGAGCCAGCTGGCTCTGTGCGCATACACACGCGTGTGTGCATGGGTGTATGTGTGTTAAGGTAGGGTGCAGATTTGTCTGATTTCATCACAAAAACGTTTATGTGTCGATGATTATCTTCCAGATGTCATGCCCTCATCATAACCGAACAATCACAAACACATGAATTCCTAGAAGTGAAAACATTAATTGAGGAAAACAAACACAAACATTCAACCAACTTACACACATCCGAGCACACACTTTAGTGGGAGCTGCATCCCATTTGAATGCTTGAGTGCTGCCCTTAGACAGGCCTCCATATATCTGTTTAAAAAGTGGAATTAACCTTTACACGCAAGCACTTTTCCACTGACATTTTAACATATAGATACTCTGAAACACACACACACACACACGTCTTAGTGTGTTCTGTGTGAGCAGGCTGCAAGTACTTTTCTCACACATGCACGCAATAGTATTACCTTTACTAGTAGCACATTTATGTAACTGCTGACTATCACCATTATTGAACAGTAAAGTACTGTGAGCACATATTTGCAACCCACAGTCATATCAGTTCATTTTGGAGGAAAGGGGACAACTGTTACTGTTCTGTGGAAACCCAACAACATGAAATTTAATTTCCTACAACATATTTACTTTCCCATTTTTTGTACACACACATTACTCTGCACTTTACTGATTTGCACTTCTGGTTAGATGCTAACTACATTGCTAGTACCTGTACTTGTGCAATGACAATAAAGTTGAATCTAATATTTAAAGCCAAGAAAAACATCAGAATTATCAGGTTTACTTTAGAACTAAAATAAAATCTAAATGTGATGCGCTACATTGCATTCAGGTCATCTAAATATTTTCAACCACTTGTCTCAGGACTAAAAAAGGACAAAAACAACCATAATTGTTCTACAAAGGCAACTCAAAGAAGATCTGAGGGGACCCTAACGGGATTACAGACAATTAGCACCTCTTTAAACCCCTTAAACCACCAGTCTCGAAGCTAATTCAAGCTCTAAAGGAGCAATTCACCCTTCTATCACCTGGCGTCTCTTGCTCACCTGTAATTTACCTACAGAAAATGAACACTTCAATAACCAGAGGGCAATGGGATTAGGAATGGTTGAGAGAAAGAAATGTGGTCTGTGAAAAAGCTGTTCCCTTGATTAGAACCTATTTGTTAACTTCTGAGGGTGCATGTTTGTGTATTGGCTGGCATTCATCACATGTCCGTCAACTACATCAACTAAATCAAATCCTTTCTAATTTCAGATGTAATCAGGAAAAGAAAGCAAAGAATAAAATATGTTAAATGAGAAGCAAGAATATTACAGAACTAAAAACACACAATGGAAAAAAAAACACTGTCTAAGATTAGATCTGTTATTTTACTGGCTGTGATACACTTTGGAGAGCATCTAAACTGCTCTTGTCCGGTCATGCATGACTCCTACCTCTCCTTGCTAAGTGCCATGCGTGGGGGATCTAAATTGGGATTCTCCATGGACTCCATTTGTGGGCAGCGCAGGAAGTAGTAAAGGGTGTGGAGGGCGTCCGGCGACCAGGACACGGGCTGCTGGGGACGGGCGTGACGGGCTGGGCTCAGTCCTGGGCGCACTGAACTGAGGCGCTGCATGTGGTGCATTGCACGGGACACCAAGTCACCTGGAACAAATGAAATATGAGAAGGATCAGAGTTAGATGGTTTAGTAGGTATTTGTTCTAATAATTATATGCAGCACGTTCATATCATTTGCTAAATTCTTCTAAAGTCAAATCAAAGATCACTGCATGAAATGAAATTAAAACTATAACAATAGTTCTCATTGCTCAGTATAAACCCTGCAGGCTCTAATCCAACTGCATTTCCCCTTTTCCTAAACAACTTACACTACCTTCCTTTACTCATTACTCTCCCTCCATGTCTCTAGTGGTATTTGCCATTAGCAGTGTCATTATCAAGTGAGCTCAGCCAGACGGCCAGTCTAAATAGCCATTCATCTTTAATCACTGAAGGAGTTAATTGGCTAACAGACAGCTGATCACAGGCACTAATGATCCGTTCAACTGTCTCTGGACTGATGTATTTCAATCACTGCACTCAGTCTGGAAAGGTGTCAGTCACATGATAAAAGCAAAGATCTGTGATTAAGTCTAAGTAAAGAAATGCCTAAAATTGGCGAGCACTCAGAAAACACTGAGAAAACAGTGCTGTGCTGAGATAAAGACATAAGAAATATGCATTTTATCAGTGGATTCATTCACCCACACTGTGAGCTAAGAGGACAACTCATGCAGTTGGATAAAGGCCAATGTGCAGTAGAATATATGAAACTTTATTATCCTAAACAGACATGGATAGATAGACAAAACGGCTGCAAGGAGTCATGTTTGTAGATAACAACCTAGTGTGTGACCATGGGTGTCATAGCTAGAGTATGGAGAGGCAAAATATCCGTGGTCACAGGGAGGGGATGTGGAGGAGGGGCAGAGACAAGCAGAGTGAGGGAGGCCAGGTTGAAGTTGGGATTGTGTAACGCTCATTTAGCATAATTACCCCTGGGTTAATTTCTAACCAGATTACTGAGTGGGAGGGTGCAAGGGGGGCAATGCTGGGGAGTTCAGCAGTGTGAGTGTGTATGTGTGGGTCTATACTAAGGGGTCTGGGGTACTTCGAGGGGGGTTAGATTGCAGTGGCCCTCCCTAAACAGACCCCACTTCAAGCTGAAGGGCCTCCTTTGTGTTAACCACCACCAGCAGTTCCTCCAGGAGGTCTCCCAGGAATTCTTGCCCAAGATGGAGAGCCTCTCCCTGGCTTTACAGCTCATATTGTGCCACGAGGCTAACTTCCAGGGGTCAGAAGTATATTAAACGCTTCATTCTTAGATTATAGCTTATATTGGAGGCCATGTGGAAGGCTAGAACTCAATAAACTGTGACATGACTGCCTTTTGAATACATACTGACAAAATGTGCCTCTTAGGTTAAAGTTGCAAGATAATTAAATGTTTCCAAGAATTAGATAATTACAAGATGTCGACTATACTGTCAGCCAATTCAATACAAACATGTTTATACAAGTTTTTATCTGGACTCTGTGTGACCCCAGATTTATAAATGGCTTTACAAGCTTTAGCAGAAAGCTCATTTAATTTAAGTTAGTCCAATCCTGATCCTTAATATTTCCTTTAGTTAACTGGATGGTCACATAGTTTCCCATAGCTAGTGAAGACCACCACAGAGATGAAAATGAAACATTCAAATGTGTCTGAAAACAACTTTCAGAGCCAGTCTACTGCTTACACTATATTTCCCACAATTTTGGACATTTAGCCGAAATGTCCAGTATCCTGCCATCAATTATCCATCATGTTTATGTATGCTGTGTGTTTGTGTGTCTGGCCAAGTCCAGTCTAGAGATCCAACAGGACTGGGCAGCTTAGCACAGATGCTCCTGTGTCTGCCCGGTCTCTTGGGCTTAGATCAGAGTGCCAAGCCCTCTGTGTTTTTGTTGTGTGTATGCGTATCAGTGTGTGTCCGTGCGTGTTTGTAGGCGTGAATGAGTCTGAAGGATGCCAGCCCTGCCCAGAACAGCCCAGCTTCACACCACCCGAGAGATGTGGCACAAAGAGACCACTGAGCGAGTGAGAGAAAGTGTGTCTGTGTTTGAGAGTGTGTGTACACTTTCTTAATGCCTCGCTAACGGTGCCGGTGTATGAACGTGGCCTTGTGCTGGTGGAACAAATGGCAGAGTGTTAGTTCATTTGGAGAAGGAAACCTATCCAACACTAATCTCCATCCCTCCTCCTCTCTCCCTGCCCTGACAACCTCACTCTTCACCTCTCTACCTTTCCATCATCCCCCCCCTGCCCCCCGCCCTGCACACACACACACACACACACACTCCATCCTTAAACTTAATCCCCTACCTTTCCATCCTCCATCCCTCCACTTCCCTTCTACTCCTGTCTTTTTCACGCTTTTTAATGACCTGATCCAACTTGCCAACTTCATCACAGCCTCCGGTTTAAACAAACCATAATGTACAGTAGAGTACAGTATGGCTATGTGCATGTGTGTCTGCATGCCTCTCTGTTTACCAATCCATCATGTGTATGAAAGGTGGACATCTCATCTCATGGGAATACTGTTGGGTCTCTGTAAATGTTTAAGGAGTTCGGTCTAGACCTGCTCTATTTGAAAAGTGTTCTGAGATAACTTCGGTTATGAATTGGCGCTATAGAAATAAAATTGAATTGAATTGAATTGAATTAAATTAAATTGACCCATCCAATAATTCAAACTCTGATGGTTAGCGAAAAATAGGTCCCAGGAAGGTCCTCACTTCTCAGAACAAATGTACACTTTCCCTGATTAGATCCTTATATAAGGTCTCAGCATTGTGGGGTACATTTTAATATAACACCTATCACAACCTGACCCAATGTATATATAGGACTGACACTTGAACTTGAGAACAGAGATGTGATTGAAGCTTATGTAAAATACCCAAGAAAGAGTTTGTCCATATATCTTCAATATATCTACTGCCCAAATGTCACACTAGTGCTTCTTATTAAGCACTTCACAGATACAACACAGACAACACTGTGTGTGTGTGTGTGTGTGTGTGTGTGTGTGTATCAGCCCTCTCTTTCCTCTGATAAAACTGACATATAGCTATATAGCATAATAAATAAATACTAAAAAACTCTTTTTCCATGTTGACTAACTTGACTGGGGAAGAAAGATCACAGCACCAGTTAGTTTGGGTTGACCTGACACACACTGCTTAGCAAAACAGACCAGGCAAAGACAATATACAATCAGAGGACTTTATTCTCCAGAGCTCTATGTGTAGATAACCTATTCCATTGCTTATTTTTAGAAGATTTTTAGAAGAAGTGCAATAGATGGATTTCACAACAGGGCACATGATGGGACTTATCATAAAGTGATAAAAATGTCATTCTATTATTGTTGCCTGGCGCTTGGCTGTCTGAAATAAAAAACATTTCCTGTCTTCCAGAGCCAGTGAACAGTGTGGGAATAACAAGGTGTGTTTAGATAGTTATCAGAATGTGGCCGAGTATGTCAGAGTTTGTAGTATCATTTCTGGGATCTTTGGGTTACTTCTAACTTCTTCTGGTCTCTAATAACCAGAATCTTTTGTTCACTGTTGTCCCTATGATTGCTAATACAGCCCAGAGGAATTTAATAAATTAATTAGTAATGTGAAAGAAATCTGCTAATGCTAAGTAGACAGGCTATTCTGGACTACATGTACTCACTGAGTTCAGAGATGCTGCCCACACAGGTGGCCAGCAGGGACTGTTCCAGCGTCCTCAGCTCCAGCTGGGCATAGGCATCCTCCCTGCTGTCCACAGATGTCTGCTGGTTCTCTGTGTAGGGGCTGAAATGGGCCGGGAGAGACAAAACACCTATGGAGACAAAAACAGAAAGAGAAAGGCATTTATGATTAATATGGTAAGTTTGTGTGCAGTGCAAACAAGTTTCCATAAGTTCTGCAACAATCCATCCACACTGCTTCTACAGAAGTCCCTAAACAACTGCTGGTGGTATTTACACAGTATTTATAATCCTGGTAACATGTAACCCACACCGCTGAGGGCAAATAAACACACAAGGGAACGTGAGCCTTGCTCTGAACACATTCAGGAAAACAAACAGAGCGAACAGTGACATCAGGCTAATACAAACAAAACAAATGCACTACCCATCAGAAATGGGCAGAGGGCTCACAGAAAGAAATACCAGACTAAGATCAAGTTAAGAATTCAGTGTTACTGCAGATATTTATATATGTGTGATTCATACTGGTCATATCTGCAGGTATTTTGCAGAAGTCTGAAGAAACAACTAAAATAATGATGCTTTCAGTAGATACATGATTGTTAAAGCTGATATGACTGCAGTATGCGGGAACACTCAGTAAGAGAAAGGTTTGGTGTTAGGTTCATATTAAGGATGTCATCAATCAACAGAGTGCTGAAAGGGCCAGAGACCACCAGCATCACAGGACTCTGACAACCCCTACAGTAGACCTTTTTTACACAAACACACACACAGAGGAAGATTTGCCATTGCCAAAACAACAACTTCACTAACAGTACAATAAAAGGTGGTAAAGGATGAGTTTTACTGAGTTTTACTGAAGTTATATGATTTCATGGTAGATTTGCAGGATGAAATCACCAATTGAATTTTTTTTAAGGCTACTCCATCTACTATCATGGCTTGTGGTGTAACTAGGGTCAATCTAGGACACGTGTGGCATTTCCTCTATGGATGAACCCTCTGGAGACCCAGTAAGCCCAACCCAGGCAATTTTTGACAAACTGGATTTGTAATGTTCAGGAATAACACGGCAAATCGCTTTTTTGAATACAAGTCAAATTAAAAGAAAAGAAAAATGCACAATTATGTCTGTGTCTGTGTAACACCAGGTTCCCTCTTTTATTCTACATGAAAACCGGTTGTCAGACTAATTGCTGGTGAGGAGATAACATCATTCTTACATAACTCAAAGATGTCATCTTGTTTTTTTAACTGCAGTACATCGCTTGTGGTTGTTGTTTTTCAGCTAAAATGGATATAAGTTGTAACAAGTAAAGGTGAGAACACAGACTGTTGTTTTCTGCCTCTTGGTAGGTCTCTGTTGGCTGTTCGCTCTCACACCTTCTTTATCTTTGTCTGGAGCAATATGTGGTTGTATAAGAACTGCAGTGTGCTGTTAGTAGCTACTGTGCCGCTAGTTGAACACAGTTACAGTAGCTGCCCAAAGGTTAACCTTTATTTTGGCTTCAGAATCAGAGGGGGGCTCTCTGCCAGGCCAGAGGAAATGAGTGGGGGATGGCTGGGGATAGAAAAGAGAAATGGAAAGAGGAAAAATGATCGGTGCAGGTTTGTGATTTATTTACAAAGCCTGAGGAAAAAAGCCTCCTCATCTCAAACTCTCCCTTCTCTCCCAAAAGGGAAAAGACGGGCTACCATCCCTAAAATTACATTCCCATGTGCTTCCGGTGAACGCTGTCCTCTCATTAGAATCTTGAGAGGGAGGTTGAGAAAAAAATAAATAAAAACATTCCCATCATCTTACTTGGAGTCTCATCACCCTGTGACACAAGAGGAGCTTGAACTTTCAAGAAAAAATAGGAGGAATCTAGGAGGGCAAAGGACAGTAACTAACCAATCAACCTTTTCATAGAATATACTTATTTTGCCTACAAATATCTTTCCGCATTGTAAATTGTGTGACATATGACTTAATGTGCTTACTTTAAAACACACACTGTGAGCACATTTTCAGAAGATATAAGACTTGCCCAGACTTTGACTCCCTTTAAATTCAGGTCAAAACATTTATGTTCTCCACTGCTACTGACTGAACCTTAAACATCCACAATTATCCAACTCCCTTTGATTTGATTCTCTGTTTTTAATTTCAAAATTGATTCTATTTTATTGAATTATATATAAACATATTGCTTCTGTGTAGGAAATGTTCTACTACTGTAGATAAAGTTGCCTTCACGTTTCAGTCCACCGTCTCACATGGAAATGCTTATTATGTGAATATAAAGTATGGATACACAATATGTTGCAGTGAGTAGTTTGTGCTATGAGTGAGTATAGCAGCACAGAGTAATGGCTCTATGATAGACCAAACTGCTGCACCAACACAGTGCTTTGTCATGCACAGAACAGTAGCCATCACAGCCTAATTCGCAACACGGTGTCAACTGTTTATGGACACAAGCACACACAGTATTTACTACAATAAAGGAAAAGTAATCTACGAGACATGTTCAGTATTAAAAAATCACATGTGCTGGATGTAAACATGATCCAGTCTATATGACGGGCTGTGTACGGACTGTGCTATAAAAACAGTGAGAGGGAAACATTTTTGCAGAGAGCTAGATTTCTCAATTGAGTTACCGGGAACATGACATGTTGACTTCCTAAAAATAAAGCCAAACAGTGAAGGAAAAAGTCACTTTGGTCTAGAGTAGTGCTTCATAAATGAAAAACACATTGATAGAATTAAAGATATGTTCACTCTGGCATACTGCCAAAGGGAATCCAGTCTCATGCAAAAAGTGTAACTCCATCTTTTTCTACCTCTCTCTACCCCCCCCCCCCCACCTCTCTCTCTCTCTCTCTCGTACTTTCTCTGCACCATCTGACTTGTATAATATGTGCTGACTCCCCGTTCCAACACAATGGAAACGGCTGCCTCTAGCAGAGTACCACTGCTACAAAGAACCAGCACGGCAGACAACCAAATTATACACACGCATCAACACATCCCTGTTCACTTACACAAGCACAAACATACCCAAACATTCACGACTGTGCATATCAAGTATGTTTGCGCTTCTTTGATGTGTCACTTCAGGTATTTTGGTAATTATGATGAGGCCTTTACTTTTGTGGCTTGTTAAATATTCTTTAAAATAACACTGAGAAGACAAACTTGGGTGAAACATCTGAAGCTCAAACATTTCAAACAAGACC